CCCCCACCAATGATTCAAAATTCATCCACACTTGCAAAAACGTCCTTAACATTTTGAATCCTAAAATATATTTCTTCTTTTCATCAACCTTCCTGAATAATTTATCAAACTCATTAATTTGATCATCTACAAGGTCGTAAATAAAGGTTTAATCTATAAAAGTCTCTGAAATACACCATGCAACTATTTTTAGCTAACCTGACTCTTATCACAACGCGAAAATCAAAGACTAAACAAAACTCACCAAATCTCAACTTTTATTAATGAACAGTATTCAGATCATTTCTTAGAATCTCCACTTTGACACCATTTTTTGACGTAGGACTACGTCTGTGATTTCTATATGGGGGTACACTTTGTGAAAACCAAAAACGGAACATGTAACAAAATTATGAAAGATTTTCAATGTTAATAACTCAGAGCTGCCCCTGGACCGATTTCTATAATTTTATCACCAATCGATCAGAAATATTTCTACGCATAAAATCTAAGACTGACCATTGAAAATTGCACGAACATGCAACTGTTGCTTTGATAGGTAAAATTATCACCAATTGCCTGCGAAAAGCGATTTCCCTAACACAGATTTCAAAGTTGAATTTCATCCGGTCTCACCAAACGGTGAGGGGTGGTGTTCTCCAGTACACAATGAAAGGCTGTCTGCTAGCAGCGAGCTGCAGCCCACCATAGAAGGAGGATGAAGCCGCACCGCTATTGATCGGGATCAGTAACTCTTCGTGAGTTTCTGTGGGCCATCTATGTCAAGCGCGTCATACTAATACCAACAATCAATAAGAAACTATCGATTTGAAATTGGCTCACTACTTGACTAGCCTATTGGTCCCAAGCAAACGATTAACGTATCCCATTCTAGTCGGAATTCTAGTACTACACTATGTTTGTTTTGATTCTCTTTGAAAGTTTGACAGATAAAATGAGGGGTTCGTGGATTTTACCATGTTTCGAGGGGTGCATCGATTAGCTTGGGACCGAAGATAGTACCAGAGCTGAGCCAAAAGGTTGAGCACGTTTCTTCGGGATCTACTAGTCTTAGAGTTACCTCTATGCTAGTACCGCGGATACACTTGTATGACAAACAATGAGCAAAAGCCTTATTTGTATAATTAAACTCATGCTCATCCATGGTCACACTTGTATAGTTTTTGTATAGTTGTTGTATAGTGCTCATAATTATTATACAAATAATGATCATGCTCATAGTTTGTCATCCAAGTGTATCCGCGGCATAAAGAGTATAAACAGAGAGAACCCCGCTCAAATTCCTATTCCTACACATAACATAAGCTCCTGCTGCAGTTAACAAATAAGATTTATTATATAAGACCACGTAGTCCTACGTCATCATTGCGTACAACCCCATAGTTTGTAGTTTTTCTTAACTTTCGGAATTTTGAACCGAAATCTCTCCATTCCATATTTTTTTGTTTAACTCTCAAAGTCTTCAATAAAATTTATCGTTTTCAGCAAATGCATGATTTGTTTTCATTGCCATAAATCATTATTTATCCGTTTTGTGACCTCTATGTTTTACTTGAAATTTACTTACAGTATGTTCAGATGTATTCAAAAACATTTGTTCCATTTAATAGGCATAGTTGGATATGGGGGTGGTCTTGCTGTATCCCTTCCTCCTTTCACTTCTATCAATGAAAGTTAAGATAAAGACTGAAATAACATCGGAGTTTCCCATCTCTCGAGTTGTTCGGATGGATTATTCAGAAAAATTTGCTCAATATCATAAGAGCAGTTTGTAAGTGAGTACCAGAACCCCCTTCCCAACTCTTTTGGTGTAATATACAATGTCGGACATTTTCACACAAATTTCATTGGATGGGAATGATTATACTTCAGATTAATATATTCTACGATGTCTCAGGGCACACTTTTCGATGCTGTTCGATCGACTGAAGCAAATATTGCTGTTGAACTGGGTCTTGGGTGGATTTCTTGATAAAGTCCGAAATTAGCTTCACCCCTAGTTCAGCCATATCGTTGGCAACCATCAAGGATGCAACTCGTTGTTTCGCATTGAAATAATCTGTATCATTGCTCCACTTGTTTGCCGGTTTTCGAGTGAAGTGTGTCGACATTTCGAAAAGGATCGAGCACTGTCAGAAATGACGTTTTACTTTGATTTAGGTGGGCTACAGCCCAACTAATGGGAGTCCAACTAAAACGTAGCCTAACGAGTGAAATCCGACTATGCCTGTGTCTGAGACGAAACTCGTGAAAACAGTTTTATTTTTCTCCTATTGTTGTTTTCTGACGTAGGACTACTTCTGTGTTTTTTATATGGGGGTTGCTCTTATGGCAGTTTAATTTTTCAAATTAATGCTTTAGATTGAAGCTTAAAATAAAACTGCTAATAATTCAAACAACATCACCTCATTAAAAACTGTACTGGATATGAAATATTAACACAACAACAATTTTCGATTCAAAAACTGCTTATAGTAAGCCCCCCTCTCTAACTACGCACATGAGATAGACCTATTGTTTTTCAATAATTCATCTGAACATCCCAAAACGATAAGATAATCAACTCCGAAATTATATCCGTTTGGAATCTGACTCCCATTGGTACACCAGCAATGTTGGCAGAAAATGTGATTTTTGGCATTTAATTCAAGCCATCCATATTTGAACACTAATAACTTTTTTTAGAGACGAAAATGCAAAAAAGTAGCTTTTCCCTCATTAAATTCCATACACATTTCAAACGCAATGCGGAAAGCGGGGTTATAACCAATCGTCCCCAAATTATGCACAGTTGTTTGGGACTCCAAATGCGTCGGTTCACTAAAAAAGCGATAGGGTAGAACGCTACTTCGTCGTAATCGTCCATTTCCGTTCTATCGAGCAGAAAATTTCAGTATAATCAATGATTTCACCGTTCACAAATCAGTGATACGACTGTACTAATGCGTTAGTTCACAAGCTACAAAACAAAGCCTATTAGAGCGTATTGGGTGAATATTTACACTAATTGTTCTCAAAACAACAGAAGCGCTTTTTGTACCTTCAACCGTAGGACGAAGAAAATCCAATGACGTTTCAATGCGTTTGGACAAAATTGAAATTCGTAGGACGAATACGGAACCAAGAAGCAGTGTTAGATTTTTAACAATATCTCAACAATGTGTGGCCCTTTATCAAATTCAACGGTACTTATGGAAAGAATTAAAAGAATTAAATTTAAAAGTCATCTTTGATAGAAACATTTCATTTATTGTTAAAACCCCGTCCAAGAAATAGAGGTAAAGCGTGGGTTGTGCTTAGTAGGACGGAAATTAGATCAAAAACCGGATCGGATAGGGATAATGCCGGATTGAAATTATGATTGTCTTATGTGGTAAAAGCGCTCATTGGACACTAAGTTGAGGGCAAGCGTAAAGACGCAGTTGATTCGTTGGTTGGTTGGTCCAAGATAAAATAAATCCCTTTTCAACGAATGATTAATTTCATAGTATCGTCACCCTACCAGTCAACTTGCTATTGATCCAAAAGCACATACATCAAGTGAATGGGCGCAAAAGGATTGATCCACCCATTGAGTTAAACTCTGTCTCTTCAATTACTATGCTTCATTATGAACAAACATCCTCTAACCCCCCCCCCCCCTACTCTCCCCTCCAGTTGACGCATTACCAACAGCAAGCAGGTAAAGCAGGCACAAATCACTGCCTCTAAGCGACAGCAAACTGTGGGAAGTTTTCCAACACCTGTAGACAAAGAAGGACCCGAGTGCAACTTTCCATTGAAGGAAGGGGTGAAAAAGCCTTCTGCAAATAAATAGGATGAAAAAAGCTCTATGAACTTCACTAAGTCAACACTTTTTACAAACCGGTTATGGAGGATAGGAATCCTGTGCTCTTTTTCCCACAGGATGACGATGCCGGAAGAAGACCGACTCTCGTACTAGTTGGTAATAGTAGAAAAGTGATGCAGACTCCAATATATGCCCTCCGTGAATAGTTTGTGGAACTAGTGTCGGGAGAACTCGCGGGGTTAGAGGTAGGCTTCCTTGTGTGTTTTTATCAGTTAAATAGTGAGTCAGTCAGCTAGTTTTTCTGCCTCGGCGCTAGGTTCATCATTGCTTGACATATTTTTGCTCCCGCTAAAGGATTTGGTTTCAATGGGGCCTTTCATTGACACATTTGGAGAGAGGCAAATACCAGTGGCTATTTCTTTGAATGGTCCAAGATTAAACAGTTGGTGAGTGACCTTTTCTCCATTTGCCTTTCCTTAGCAGTGTCATACAATTTGAAGGAATGGATTAGCACCCTTACTCATGACGTCACCCAATGTCGGGTAGTCATTAATTTTCCTTATCGACTTCAAACATGGCTTTCAGCTGTTTACAAGACATTCCCGACAATGCTGTTTTGGTCCAACACGCATCGTTCGAATGATTCGATTCAAACGTAGACCGCTCAATGATCAGCACTATCATCATCAAATCTCTATTGTTCTACCACCATGTTCATTGAAAGCGCCGGACGGAGGCGTCTACCGACAAAGACGACAACACTAGCACACCCACATTACAACGACGACGACGACAGCAGTGCAATACACAATGGAACAAACGAGCTGTAACCTACCAACCGACTCTACCAGCGTCACACTCGGTCGGAGGGGCATACCGAAAACCTAATAAATTATCTCACCACAACACCAAACCACTTCAGACGGAGCAAATTCCATCCTCCTGCAGTATCGTTGCCGTGACATCTTACCACATGCCGCCCCCAACAGCCAACAACACGACACGAAACGCTTCCGGCAACAATGGAAAAGACATTAACCGGTACAAATCAGTCCGTTACAGGATCCCTTTAACCGACTTTCTTTATAGCCAGGGGTTTGTTGGCACTCGGTTGCTAGGGAAAGCATTCACCTCAAATACTGCTAGGTGCACCACACGTGGAAGAAGGATGCTTGAGACCCGAAAGATTAAGACCATAAATTATACTCACTATCAAGCCACTTGGAGTCGTATTTCAGGGTGCGCTTAAAGTTGAACACCTTCTTGCCGGTTGTCATGTTGTACAGATCGGTCCGGAATATCACCGTGTCGGCTTTGGTGAACTCTGCATTCGTGCCGGAGTACTGCGAAAGAAATGGAAAGGAAGGGAAGAAGACAATCGTCAGCTGAAAAACCTGATAAATGTGCGACGTAGCTAAGGATTTTTAATCTACTTGAGATTGGAATATTACAAGATATGTGGGAGTTACGATCCTAACTGGCATCAACTAACATGTCACAAGATAAAGTTGATGTGACAAACAAATATGGATTCAGATGATATTGGTACAGTGTACGTAAACTGCATCAACATGGATCTTCAATCTTAGGTCTACCTAAGGGTTTTACTTCACGTAGGTTCTGCACAGTCACAGGCAGTCAGAATCCGTCGATGATCTCGTTATTGCATTTTTATGTGATTTAATATGCCACGTGGTTTATTTTGGGCTAAAGGCAGATTATGGTCACTTACCCGGGGAAATTTCCATGTACTATTTAAGGTCTCAGGACAAATGGCTGAATGGCTAAATTGACGTATGGCATGATGGACGAATGGACGAGACTGGATGAATGAATGAATGTCAATTTATCGGAACGATGGATTAATCAAGTCAAGCCCCTTAATCAACTTGACAATTGCTGAAGATACATTTGATTTTAATGTTGGAAAAATCAGAAATAAGATCATTAAATTATGATATAGTCTCAGTCCGCATCGTGCTCTCTTTCCATGCGGATCTATTTGATTTTTGCTGAAGGAAGTGTTACTACTACCTAAATCTATATTAAATTTAAACAACACATCTCAGTGCTCAATATACCAGTAAATTTTCTACCTTGTTTGATTCTTATTCCTCTTCGATCCTTGTTTGAACCCTACCCGAGGTAATCCTTTTTGGATATCGATTTGGAAAATTCCTCTTCGATCCTACCGATTCTTATAGTAATCTGCTTGGAAGTCGATTTGGATAAAAATATTTCCTGTCTCCATGGCTCCTAAACGCAAAAGAAAAGGGCAATCTCTTGATCCCCCTCCTGATGAAATTGATTTGAGCAATCAATTTGATTTGCTCACGGATGATGAGAATAATCCATCATCCCGGAAAAATTCTAGTAAACTTTCCCGGCTTGATGCCGCGAAAGAAAAGATTCCCCCTATTGTGATAACCACTTCCGATTTCCATGCTCTTCCCATGGAACTTTTGCACTTAGGAAAATTTAAGTATATACTACAAATTGGACGTCGGGGGGAATGCCGTGTATTGGCTGAAACCTTGGACGGAATTAAATGTCTTCTCAAGTATCTTACTGAGAAGCAGCACAAATGTTTTACTTACGACACCAAAACTGAACGTATGTTCAAGGTTGTCATGAAAAGACTGCCCAGTGGTGAATCCCTGGATCAGATCAAAGATGACCTGGCAAAATTACTTGGAGTTGTGCCACTCCAAGTGATCAAAATGAAAATCAAATCCCGTCCTGGCGATTCGCGCAACGGAATTTATAATGATTTTTATTTAGTTCACTTCAAGTCTAGTGACCTAAACAACCTTAAGGCCTTGGAAAAAGCTAGCCTTATGCTCCAAGTCCGAGTGAAGTGGGAACACTTCAGGAAGACTGGAAGAAATTTCCAAAACCTCACCCAGTGCCGTAAGTGCCAGGGATGGGGTCACGGAGCTAAAAATTGCTACATGCCAGCTAAATGCATGAATTGTGGTGATTCTTCTCACGCATAGGACGACTGTCCTATGAAGGAAGATCCTAAGAAATTTAAATTTTCCAATTGTGGTAAAAACCACAAATCCAATTTTTGGGAATGTAAGACTCGCAAAGCGATCGTACAGTCTCGTTCAAAGAAGCAGGTAGGAAATGCTCCATGTTTCCAACCAGGTACAAATTCCTCTGCTGTTAACAACGGTCAGCGAGGAACAAATTTTACATTCGTACCCGTATGTACAAATATCACCCCTGCCTCAAATTTTTCATCTGAACCTACTCCCCTCGCTGCTAACAATGTTCAGCGAGTTAATGGAGCTATCTATGCTGCTATTGCAGGGGGTAGAAATCAAAATACTAACCAACGTAATCCTAACGAAATTTTTGAAAATTTTGACTTAGGAAGCATTACTGCTCCTAAAATTGAATTTTTACAGAAATCATTAATTGACATGATTACTGATATGTTAAAAACTAACTCCATGTTTGATGCTATTCAAACTGGAGTAAAATTTGCAAACAATATTGTAATGACTTTGAAATTCAGTAATGGATTTTAAATCATTGAATATTTAAATTGAAATGCTCGTATCTTAGAGATAATCAAGACGAGATAATTAACTTTCTGAGAGTACATAACGTGCATATTGCCGCTATAACTGAAACGTCCCTTAAACCTGATCATATGGTTAAATGGGATGCAAATTATTTCATTTGTAGAAATGAACGTCCAGATGGAGCCTGTGATGGCGCTGCCATCATTGTTCATAGACGAATCAAACATTAAATTCTTTCTTCATTTGAAACCAAAGTTTTTGAAACTTTGGGAGTTTCAGTTGAAACAAAATTTGGACAAATTACGTTTACAGCAGACTATTTGCCATTCCAATGCGTAGGCCAGCAAAAGAATTGTCTCAAGGGTGACCTTCAGAAACTTACCGGTCATAGGTCTAAATTCTTCATTATTTGTGATTTTAATGCAAAACACCGCTCATAGAATAATGCTCAAAGCAATTCCAATGGTAATATTCTGTTTGATGATTGTTCTGCAGGTTATTACACTATTCAATATCCAAACAGCCCAAAGGCGCCAGTGGTGTAGTGGTAAGCGTGATTACCTCTCACTCCAGCAGGCCTGGGTTCAATCCCAGTCGGCGCCGTCGGGATGTTCTGAGGCATAACATCTCTGATCACGCCTTCCTTCGGATGGGAAGTAAAGCCGTTGGTCCCCGGTTCATGAGTTGATGGGTCGATAGGTAGGGTCCAGGTGTGGGAGCTGCCTTCCTGGCACGTCGGTAGCATTGGTGCTCAGCACGGAAAACAAGATCGACGGAAAAAAACAAACCAAAGGAAAAAAAAATATCTAAACAGCCCAACATGCTTTTCTTCAGCAAGAAATCCCTCAACTAAAGGGTGTCCACGATGAAATTGCCACACTATGAAATTGCTCTAACTTTTTAACCGTTGGGTAGAATTTAATGAAAATTTGGGTGGATTTAGTTCATAGTGCATTATTTACATCCTGCATGTTTTAAAGTCCTGTGATCAAAACTCGCGGAAATGGAGTCGAAAGAACAGCTCGTGCGTGATAAAATCTTGCGCATTCATCACGAGAACAAGGATCTCTCGCATCGTTCCATCGCTAAAACGTTGGGAATCGCGAATTCCACGGTGTCGCGAGTGATTAAGCGGTTCGAGGAACGGTTGACCACCGATCGGAAGCCCAGAAGTGAAGGAAAAAGTATTCCGTACAACACCAAAAATCACAACCGCGTAGTTGGGGCCTTCAACCGAAATCCGAACGCCTCCGTTAGGGATAAGCTGCACCTAAGCCGAAGTTTTGTCCAGAAGACCAAAACTAAGGCTGGGCTTCGAACGTTCAAGGTACAAAAGGCCCCTAATCGCGACGAGAAGCAGAACAAGTCCGCCAAAACCCGTGCCAGGAAGTTGTACCTCAACATGCTGACGAAAGCTGAATGCTGCATCATGGACGACGAAACATATGTGAAGGCCGACTTCAAACAGATCCCCGGCAATCTGTTTTTCACGGCCAAGGATAAGTTCAGCGTTCCGGAGCATGTCCGCACTCAGAAGATGTTCAAATTTGCGAAGAAATTCCTGGTTTGGCAAGCCATCTGCACGTGCGGGAAGTGGAGTGCACCTTTCGTGACCCAGGACACGATGAACGGACAGGTGTACATAAAAGAGTGCCTCCAGAAGCGGCTGCTTCCTCTCCTGAAGGCCCACAACGTCTCAACAATCTTCTGGCCGGATTTGTCCTCATGCCACTACTCCAAGGACGTGCTGAAGTGGTATGCGGACAATAAGGTCAATTTCGTGCCGAAAATGTTCAACCCTCCCAACACTCCGGAGCTCCGCCCCATCGAGAAGTACTGGGCGATTATGAAGCAGCACCTTCTTAAACGACCTAAGGTAGTGAAGACAGTCGAGGAACTGAAGAAAGTATGGGTTTACATGCAAAAAACGGTTGATTCACAGGTTGTGCAGAATCTTATGGCCGGGGTTAAGGCCAAGGTGCGGGCATTTGCGTATGGACTGTAAATAAAATACGAGTAAAATGTTAAAATGAAGTTTAATAGTTATTTCTCAATTACTGAAAATTTGATGGCAATCGGATGAAAACTCGAATTTTGCGAATCAATTTTGTGTGTGGCAATTTCATCGTGGACACCCTTTATTGATGCATGTCAAATTTGTAGCTAATTGGTTACCCATGCTGACTTCGGTTCTGATCACCTTCCAGTAACTTTTGAAATAGCCCAAGAAATAATTTGTAATGCCGATAGCTAAATATCTGCTTTCAATTACCATAGAGCTGATTGGGAGCAATATCGAACATTTGTGGAATATAACTTCGATCCAAACATTCCTTTGCAAACCAAAGATGATGTTAATTATGCTGTTGAATCTCTTACTACTTCTATAGTTGAAGCAAGAGCTGCCTCAGTACCAAAATTCGATTCAATTATAATAGACGACGATCTTCAGCTCTTGATCCGTCTAAAAAATGTCCGTATGAGACAATATCAAAGAACATGCGATTTTGCCATGAAAGTTATCTGGCAGGATTTGTAAAAACAAATTAGAAAGTGATTCTCTGCCCTGAGGAACAAAACTTTTGAAAATAATATTTCTAAATTAGACCCGAGTTCCAAACCCTTTTGGAAACTCACAAAAATTTGGAAAATCCTCAAAAGCCTATTCCAGCGCTTAAAGAAGGTGATAAAATTTTGATCTCAAATTTAGAAAAAAAAAAACTCAGAAACTTGCTAAGCAATTCGAGAGTTCCCATAATTTCAGTGTGGGTCCTACTAGTCCTAATGAGAATCAGGTTGCTCGTGATTATCTGAATATTTTCTCTCGGGAAAATATTTTTGATGATTTCTGGGGGCTGATTTGGACGAAGTAAGATCTACAACTAAAAAGTTTGAAAATATGATAGCTCCAGGTGATGATGAAATTTTATCTATCATCATCAAAAAACTTGCAGAGAGTACCTTGTCTTTCTTGGTAAAATTATTTAACAGATGTTTCTATTTGGCATACTTTCCTGATAAATGGAAAAATGCAAAAGTTGTTCCAATTTTGAAGCCGGATAAAAATCCAGCTGAAGCTTCTAGCTACCGTCCAATAAGTTTGCTTTCTTCAATAAGTAAACTTTTTGAAAAGATAATTTTAAATAGAATGATGCTTCACATCAATACGAACTCAATTTTTGCAGATGAGCAGTTTGGATTTCACCATGGGCATTCAAATACTCATCAACTCTTAAGAGTTTCCAATTTGATTCGTTCAAACAAATCTGAAGGCTGCTCAACTGGAGTTGCTCTTCTAGACATAGAAACAGCATTCGACAGTGTTTGGCATGAATGTTTGATTGCTAAATTGAAAAAAAAGGTTAATTTTCCACTTTATATTATGAAATTAGTACAAAATTATTTAACTGACAGAACTCTGCTGGTCAATTATCAAAATTCCACATATGAGTCCCTCTGGGTAGCATTCTTGGGCCTATATTGTATAACATTTTCACTTTGGAGCTCCCTGATTTGCTCAGGGTTCCCACAAATCTTATAACTTGTAATATTTCCACATAAGCCTAGAGCTTCGTTTTTGAAACCTGGTACACATAGTCACTATAAACGGAGTTCCAATTTCCTGGTCAAACCAAGTGAAATATCTTGGATAAGTACATGACCGAAAATTAACTTTTATAGATCACATTGAGGGCATTCTAGCCAAATGTTACACATTTATAAAATGTTTGTATCCTCTTATAAACATGAAATCCAAACTTTGCCTGACGAATAAACTTCTAATATTTAAACCAGTTTTTAGACCGGCCATGCTTTACGCTGTGCCAATATGGTCTAGTTGTTGCACTACCGGAAAAAAGCACTTCAAGGATTCAGAACAAAGTTCTGAAGATGATTTAGAAGTTGCCTCCCTGGTACAGTACTACCGAGGTACATACAATTTCGAATGTCCAACAAAATTATAAATAATTTCAGGCAAAATTCGTTGCAAATCCTCAATTTCAACGATTAATTCCCTTTACACTTAGTGTTTGTTCTCAACTAGTTTCCAAATTTATTTTATAGATTCGCGCCGAACCCACCATTCTGGTACTACAAATGAGTGCTATACAAATGTAGTAGTACTGGAAAAAAGTTGCATACAAATGAAATACGTTAGTAGTAGTAGCAAATTAGGTTTAGAGTTAATTGAATTATTAGTAATAAATTATTCCAAAACGAGCTATCCAAAAAACCAAACCTTAAGTGTATCCCAAGTTAATAAATCCATATCCAAGGTTGTAAAGTGTTTCCTTTAAAAATAATAAGTGACTCCTAGTGGCGGTTAGGCGCAAATCCAAAAGTTCGGTGCAATAATCAACTGGAGTGGTAGCCGATGCTCACACTCCCACTCAGCATAGTGACAGTGCACATTGGATTTTCCCGCAGGTTAAATATTTAACGGAAATCACAAACCTGCTCCAACACTTAGATAAGATTTAGTTTAAGTTTTTAGTTTTAAGATTTCAATTGTTATACTGACATGCAGGTTTTAAAAAATACTAAATTGCCAAGGCAGGAATAATGTAAAACCACTTAGATATCATAACAATTAAAGCTGGAAGCTACTGTAGTAACTGGAGCACCTAGGTTAAGATGAAGTGTAATTTACTTTGTATTTGGAACAAATAAAGAGTAAAAAAGTATCACTGATAATTTCACAGCAAATCATTAATTTCTAACATTGGAACCATTTTACCAGACATAACAGTATCATATTTTTCATCGAACACGTATATAACGGTCAATTTAAAATTTTCCTAGTTGGTAGTAACGTTGCTTGTGGCACGCATAGTCAATTGCCTTGCATTTGACGTTTACATATTAGTGCCATAAAGGGTGTATCGTTTAAAATCCGCACACACTCCAATTGCTCTAACTTTTGATCCGTTGGGTAAAATTAGTTGAAATTTTGCTTTACTTGAGCTTGGATGACCGTACATTTCAGTAGTTGCTACTCCATTATTGACAAGAACCAGCGAAATTGTTCATAGATCCAAACGAATGGGGCATGGGATGAGCTATCGATTCTCTATGTACACGTTTCGAAGGTTCAATCATTTATATGGTCAATAACAACGCCGGCCACGTCCTTACGGTCATCGGGAGAAGGGAAGGATTGTTAGTTCGACAACCGTTGTTACTAGAGACCGAATACACCTCTGCGTCTCCACGGTTGTCACAGGAGGGACGTTTTGTTAGTGGGGAGGATAAATGAGATCTGGAATCACTTTGGAAAGTGACGTGATCTATTGAAGCCTGACAATAAAATTATGCAATCCTACGAGCTCAATTGTGTAAGGGGCTTGGGATTAAACCCATGATTTTCTGCTCAGTAAGCAAAAACGGCTACCATTAGGCTACCGGGCCCACTTTTATCACATAAGGTCAACGAGAACGATCACCTTTGGGGCCTTTGAGGCTAAAAAGTTGCATGTGAGCAAGACTTTCGTGCAGAATACCAAAACTCGAGCTGAACTATGTACGTTTAAGGATCAGAAGTTCCCAAACCGTGACGAGAAACAGAGTACGGTTGCAAAACGAGACATATGTGAAGGCGGACTTCAATCAGATTTCAGAAAACCTGTATGAGACTGCTAAGGATAAGTGTGATGTTCCCGAGAACCTCCGGATACAGAGGATATCGAAGTTCACCAAGAAGATCTTAATTTGGCAAGCGATTTGTACATGCGGAAAGCGGAGTACACCTTTCGTTATCGCAAGCACCATGAATGAACAGGTGTATTTGGAAGAGTGTCTCCAAAAGCAACTTCTCCCTCTCCTTAAGACTCACGGCGGTCCGACGATCTTCTGGCCAGATTTAGCATCAAGTCACTACACAAAGGGCGTGCTAGAGTGGTATAAGGCGAATGATGTCGATTTCGTGCCGAAAGATCTGAACTCCCAAACACTCCGGAACTGCGCCCAATAGAAAAATACTGCGCCATTATGAAGGAGCACCTTCTAATTCTGTCAATTCTGAGGTCGTGCAGAACTTTATAGCAGGGGTTAAGTCCAAGGTTCGCGCATTCGGATATAAAGGCAAAATCAATTAAATGAATGATGCCAAAACTAACTTTATTTGTTTCAATTTACTCCCTGAACATTTGACGATGATCGGATAAAAACTCGAATTTTGATAATGAATTTTGTGTGTGCGGATTTTAAACGGTATACCCTTTATGTTGAGCTTCCTGTCCATGTCATTGTACCCAATAGATGGTGGTAGCGTTTAAGTGACGATGCCTTACAGTGAAAAATATCCAATGCGTCATGGTAAAGTTCAATGAAAAATGTTACTTTCAAGTTAAGGACAACAAACGTACCAACCCTATGATTCGTATGTGTGAAACTGATATTGAATGCTTTTGAACGTCAATTAAATAAATTTGAAAATTATGCTGAGGAATCTATTTTTTGTAAAATGAAACTCGTAAAAACTACCATTGGAGTCTCATAATGAAATGCTATCAAGATTTATTTTGATACCCCCAATCACCAATCAACCAATTTTACCTTCCCAAATAACCAACAAGCCCGCTAATTCGCCTTTTTGGAATATAAGGCTAATATGCGGCTAGTATAAAGCTAAGCATGCCCTATGCTCGCCGTGCATCAGCCTTATATTGCAAAAAGACGAATCAGCGGGCTTGTTGGTTACTTGGGTTGGTTATCAATTTTTGATTTTTGAACAGATAGTTGCAGCAACTTCCTTATCAAAATAATGATGCAACAGAATTATTATTTTGATCCAAGTAAACATAAATGACTATTACAACTACTGAAAATACCATCCCATTAACATATTTTACTGATCACTTTGGTAGAATTATTTGCTTATGGAAAACCAAAAAGGTTTACTATTTTTTGTGCTTTTGCCATGTAATCTAATTATTATCTTGAGTCTTAAAAAAAATATTATTTTAACTTTCTCAAAAATCTCTGCTCTTGATCGATGAAAAACTAATTTTCATTTTCAGATTGCATCTTAATTAACAACCCAAAATATTCAAACATCCAAACCGAAAAACAATTCATCTCTGCACCGCATACCGAGCGGTCAAATTTCCGGCGCGACTATCGACTGAAATAAAAACTTCCCAAACAATTGATGGTTTCCACGAGCTTTTGGAAAAATTTATTCCCCGGTAGTTTATTCTAGTTTTCGCCACGTATATATTCAACCCCCCGGGCCTCCATTGTCGATTTATTGCCACGAGTCGCGGATTTTTCCGCCATTGTTGTTGTTGTTGCTTTCCCTACTCTTTTGTTATGTATCGTGTATTGTCTACCACGGCACCCACGGTTCCCCCCCCCCCACGAGCGGATTCAATAGCTCTAATGGACGTGTGCCCGTGCGAACATATTTCACTTACCAGTGCGGGTAAATCTCCGGGATTGCCCTGGTGGACGTAGATGGCCGTCGAGTTGTCCAGCGGGTCGTACGGACACTTGGCAATGCCCAGCCCGATGCCGGGCACGAACTCCGATCGTGATATATGGGTGAGGTTGGACTGGAAAGAGTAAATAAGTAAAGTTTGAAATTTTTATTCATTCTATGGCCACTGGTCACTTTCATTCATTGGATTTGGAAGAGTCTTGTTTTTTTTTCCTCTCCATTCTGCGGGAATAAATTTGGATGAATTGATCGGAAAATTGGCGCACTAAATGGCGACTGGAAACTAACTGAGCAGAAAACGCACACAAAGGATCCGGTTCGTTTGTGTGCCGAAAAAAAAAACAGATCTGAATGGAAGGGTATAAATATTAGATGAAATTTCACGAGCAAGTTTGTTGAAATTTTAGACAACTGCGAGGCTGCTGTTCTGACATGCAGTGAAGGGCAAAAAGTTCAAGCTCTTTCTATTTGACTCTCGTTTTTGGCTTTACGCTTTGATTTGGCCGGGCTGTCATTGTTTTTTTTTTATTCTCGTTCAAAACCGGACAGAACTAACATGTTCATCACGCAAAACCAACTTGCTCGCATTCCCACATATTAGCATTGTGATCGAGGTTTTTTTTTCTCGGGGTCCGGAACCCCTGTCAAACGCCATGAATGGAGAACGAGAGTGGGGGAGCCCTTTACCAACTGGGAGACAGCCACACATGACTGACAATAAACACACTGTCTGTCCGTCCAGTTTCAATGTGTATGTGTGTGTGTATGTGACTATGTTGGTCTGTACCAAGCTGATCCAACTCTAACGATATCATTTTGGGGCACATTTCGGAAAATATTTTGTTTCAAAGGACATTCCGGCGCGTCACATACGGTGTTGTACGTATGATTCTACGTACATTGCCACATCAGAGCCAGACAGAGGGGGAGCAAAAGTTAACGTTGAAAATTTATTCCGAGCAAAGTGAAAAGTTGGCATAAATTATAATCACACGCTGCTGTCACGGGATGATGAACTGCTGCAGCTTTTATGAACATTGAAAAGCGTTGACGAATAAGCGCATTCTTCGTAATCTCGGAATCTCTGCGGAGCTATGAGTAGGTATACCTAATGCAACTGAAGCTACAATGATGATGACGATGATGATGCACCGTGCAGTATGATGATATGGTTGCAATGTGTAGTGGGGGCTGTCCCGGAAACTGAGAATGTTATTACGGTTTTGGTTTATGTAGATGATGATTAGTTTTATGCATATGATAATTTATCACGGCTTTAAAGAGTGATAAATCATATTAGCAGCTTAAACCAAACCGAAGAAAAGTGTATCTCGAGCAAATAGTCCCATCGGCCGGCGGCAGAACTTTTGCGAACAATAGCTTCAAGCGGAAATTTGTCGAAACAGCTAGTTCGCCCAAGTATACTTACACCACCACCAGGAAGGTAAAATTTTCCCCAAACCTAATGGTGGAGTTGGATTACGTTTAGTTTAGTTAGTTTTCTTTATTACCAAAAGCCAGGGGGGCACATTGCACATCTCGAAACGAAAGACATTTTGTACGAACGCTTGCATGAAAAAGTTTTTCGTTTCGAGATGCGCAATGCCGCCCCAGTATGGCTTAATCATTAGCATATTGATATTTTCCGCTCACATACGCTCTCAATATCACGTGTGATATTTGAGCAAACTATCATGCTTGATATTGATTTTACAAGCTCCTTTGATATTACGATAATATTCACAACGTGTAAATTTGAATCTGAGGGTTTAATCGACACAAAAATGGTTCCGTTGCGCCTAGTTTTTTTTTTTTTTTTTGTTTGGAGGGGGAAGATATAATAATGATTTCCTTTTGACGTAGGATTACGTCTTTCGGCAACATATTGGGGGTGCAATTTCAAAAAACCAAAATAGACCGCATTACGAAAAGAGGTCAGGTTTTGACCGCATATAACTCTGTCAATAGCAGATGGATTTTAATTCTAAACAAGCCAATCGATTGGAAATTTATCTACCAATCTGCTAAAATGAACGCTTTATTAATTTTCAATAGGTCCATACTAAAAATACACAAATGTCCAACTGTTGCAATGGTGATCAAAATTATCACCGATTACCTGCAAACAGCGCATTCCCTAACACAGATTTAAAAAACGAATTCGATCCTGTCTCACTGAACGGTGCTCATTCAATCACCGTATGTGGTGGTGTCCGGTCGTCGTTGTCAGCAGCAGCAGCAGCAGCAGCATCAGTATTAGCAGCAGCAGTGCTTTCAGCGTGTGGCGTTAACATTGTTGTCCAGGACGCAATGAAAGGCAGCCAGCAAGCAGCGAGCCCACATGAGTATCCATAGAAGGAGGAAATAGCAGCACCGCTATGGATCGAAATAAGTTTCTTCGTGAGTCGCTGTGGTTCATCTATGCCAAGCGCGTCACCCTTGCTCAAAACAACATACACCTCGCCAGCGTCATAAGCGTTGAACACCTAATAGCTCAGCATTACTCAACCATTACAACAAAACGGTCCGGACCCCCATAAATTTGTTAAAGACCATGTTTTGGATATTTGTCAAGGTCATCAATTGGATGTCAGTTCCCGCAAGCAGCTAGCTATCAAGGCTCAACCTGGTCTGTAGAATGTGTGGAATTGTAGGTCTAAATGTATTGGTACAATCTGTGGGTCATATATGCCAAGTGCGTCACCCTCGCACAGTGGGATGAATTCAAAAAAATGGGACATGGCTATTTGCGAGGAAACTATTGAGTATAGCTTTTTGTTGTCTTCTAAAATGTTTCTTTATTTTTTAAGTACTTTATTTTAGTAGTGAAATTTTTTGGTTAAGGAGGGTATACACTCAGATAAAAAAATTACTTTTTTATGTCTTGTTAAATTTGATGAACACCTATGGAAACATTGAAAATGAAGTCTTTTTAAGAAACTTTGTCCAAGGTTTAAACTTTCTATATCTCAAGTGGATGAAGTAATAGGGTGAAAATGAACTACAAACGGTAGTACCCCCTTAAAAACGTTTTTTCATCATAACTTAAAAAATGCACATTTTTGCAGAAGACAGTAAATCAAAAATTGAGCTATCGTCAAGCATCTTGTTTGTAGAAATGCCCTTAAGATCACTGGCACTCTACAAAAATCTCTAGATTTAACTTTTCTGATGTAGGTAGAACTGTGTGTTAAACTCCAATATTTAATGTATTTCATTGTAAATTAATTTTAATTTTAAAGAAACATAACTAATTGCCATGTCTTAAAAACGTTTGCGTTAATTACTGTTGTTGCTGTTTTACATAAAAAATATTTGTTTAATGCATTAAAAAATAGCTTTATTATTATAAACCGTTTTATAAAACTCAGGGAATTTTATTTGGCCAATAAGAAGACACCCTGTAGATAGAGAAAGACGATTAAACGTCACAAAGATCAATAGAAGCATAACAGCCTCGAATTGTTTGAAAATTAGAACAAAATGTAGGCATCGATTGGAAATCAGACGAACTGCAAGGAGAATGATATATCATGAAATAAATTCACGCGAAAAAAGTTGAACATAGAGTCACTATTACAAGAAAAGTGACTTTAGTGACTTAACCTTAAAAATGGAAACATTTTAGTGACTGGTTGGAAAAAGTGACCAAGTCACTAAAAAGTGACTTGCTACCAGCCCTGGCAATATTACGTGTGATATTGGAGCAATATATCATGCTTGCTATTGATTTTACAAGCTCCATTGATATTGCGATACCTACTATTCACAACGTGTAAAGTTGAAGCTGAGAGTTGAATCGACGCAAAAATGATTCCGTTGCGCCTCGTTTTCTTAGAAAGAGAAGATATAATAATGATCTCTCGCGCAACACGAGAAAAGGGCTTCTTATTGTTGATCGATTCTCTTCATCGATCTTCTCTTTCGCGAATAATCCAACTGCAAATTAATTTCCCATTCAGTGTGTTGTTTCAGGCGCAATCTAACATCATCTTCTGTCGAACTGTGCTGGCTGAGAGCTTAGTGAGAAATAGGCCCTTTTCAAATATTACGTGAGATCTTTCTTTTTTCTCGTCACCTTCTCTTCACGAAGCGACTGCTGCCAGCCGTTATGGAAGTTTCGGTAGCGTTCGGGTGTAAAGCATAATTTATAAAACTCAAACTCACCACAGTTTGGTGAGATTTGTAGCTGGTGAGTTTTGTTAGCTTGATATTCCAAGCACGATGTCACAGCTTGTCAACGAAAATAAAGCGTCATCTTGTTCTCTGGTGAGATTTGTTTTTTTTTTTAAGTTGTGGATGAAGTTGACCGGAACAGGCAATTATTCTGGATGTGTAAATCTTGTGCGAGCATAATGTCAGACATTCGGCATAGTAGGAATATAAAGGCTGCATATGATGCTGGTCTGGAGAAACAGCTGAGTACTCATACGGAGTTGCTGGGGAAATTAAAACAAGAGATTCTGGAGGACTTGAAAATTGAAATTCGGTCCAATTTCACGAAGCTGACCAATACTGCTTCCATCACTCCAGTTTCCTCCAGACGGTCTGGTTTTATGTCAAGAACCATAGGAAGCCGGCGGTTATTTCCAAGAAAGGACAATAATGTACCAAACATAATGCATGCTACTGGTAAATCTGTATCTCCAAGTCTAGGCCACTTCACTGTGCCTGCCCCGGTGGAAAAGTTTTGGATTTACCTATCTCGGATTTCTCGTGATGTGACTCCTGAGCAAATTGGTGAGCTGGCCAAAAATCGTTTGTCAACCGACGATGTTGAAGTTATCCGACTGGTTTCAAAGAACAAAGACGTCAGCACCATGTCTTTCATTTCTTTCAAAGTCGGTGTCTCAGCAGATTTGACGTCGAAAGCTCTTTCGTCCTCTGCATGGCCCAAAGGAATGCTATTTCGTAAATTCGTGGACAACCGCAGAGTCGAAAATTTTTGGAAGCCTCAAGGATTGTTACAAATAAACATACCGCAAACAACTCCAAAGTCCGCCAATTCCAGTCATCAATCATCTATGACGGAGTGATATTGCCGGGTCAGGAACTTGAACCTCAACACCACATTTTTATCAACCGATTACCGGGACGCTCACTTGCCACTAGCATTTTGGAAGCCCCTGATCCCCTCATCACAGTCGAGCCTCTCCTGCCATCGACCTGCAGTCGTCCCGGTTCTGTGTTTGAGTCCGGAAACGGGGTCTTCCAAAATCCAACCGCAGGCAAGTATGATCGCTTTCTGAATAATTCCGTCCCTGAAACGATTATCACTTCTAGTCGAACTTCAACAATGAACTCCTTCGTGATTGACCCATGTTGGACACCTGGAAGCACGCCTGCCATATGTGTTTTGGAAGCCCCTAATTCATCCATCACAGTCGAGTTATTCCTGCCAGCGATCTCCAGCCGTCCCTGTCCTGTGTTTGGATTTGATGAAGGGGTCTTCCAAAACCCTATCTCAGGCAAGTACGACATTATTTCGAACAATCCACTTCCTGAAATGTATTATGCCTACAGCCGATCATTTCCGATAAAAGCACAACCTGCTTTATTCAACTCGACACTCGGACGCACACTTGCAACTAGCCTTGTGGAAGCCCCTGATCCTATCATCGCAGTCGAGCCTATGCTGCCAGCGTTCAACAGTCGTCCCAGCCCTGCGTTTGAGTTAGGAAAGGGGGTCTTCCAAACTCCAACTGTAGGCAAGTATAATCAGCAAGCAACAACTCCTCTGTCAGAAAAATTCTTGGTTTCCAGAGTGCCATTGTATATGTCTGCTCCTCGACAATTGTGGAAGATAACATTAACAGTATACCAGCCCCACTATACCAGAAGCCGAGACGCTCCACAGAAAATTCACCGGAAGAAGCATTCAGATCCTCTGATCTAGCCATGCCGAAGATTGACGACTTACACCATTATGATGAATCAACTTCTGTTTGTATACTGGGACGCACTGCCGTTGGCATCATGGAAGCCTCCGAGCCCCCCGCCACAGTCGAGCCATTCCCGCCAGCGACCTGCAGCCGTCCCGGCCCTGTGTGTGGGCCTGGTGAAGGGGTCTTCCAACCACTCGTTTACGGCAAGTATGAACTCGTCCATGTGAATTCAACTGTTGATCCGCCACTTCGTTTCAGTTCATCTTCGCTTATGGCCACCACTTCGAGCCTTTCTACGTCAGGTGATCTTTCGCTGCCTGATAGTTCACCGTTCTCTCGTGCGGATCCTATACAAGTTATCATTGACACGGCTCGCACCGAACCCTCTAGCGGTTTACGTGTCTACTATCAGAACACCAGGGGGCTCATGACTAAATTGGACGATGTTTATCTGGCTGCGCTTGACGGGGAATATGACGTTTATGTATTCACGGAAACTTGGCAACTGTTTGGTGACTCTTTTACTGTCTACAGATTAGACCGTAATTCATCGAACAGCATTCGTACTCGCGGTGGTGGTGTGCTCATCGCTGTTTCCAACGAATTCGCCTCCTGCGTAATCTCCAACGAACTATTTACTACAATTGAAGCGGTTTGGGTTAAGGTCAGCCTCACTTCGCGGGACATCCTCATTGGAGCGGTGTATATTCCCCCTGAACGTCGACATGACTGCACCACAATGCAGCTTCATCTGGATGCTACAGAATTTGCATCGTCCATGGCTGATATAACGGATGTGCTTCTTCTGCTTGGTGATTTTAATCAGCCTGGGCTTAGCTGGTCACCCTCAGGCCAGGGTTATGCGTTTCCAGATCCGATTGCATCTTCAACTACTCCTGCCAGCCGCTTGCTTGTTGACGGCACGGCTTTTCATGGACTGAGCCAGATAAACCTTGTTCCCAATTTCCAGTCTCGTTTTCTTGACTTGGTTTTTGTTAGCGAAAGTGCACTTCTGGACTGTGTCGTCGTTGAAGCGCCTGATGTCATCGTTCCTCTTGACAATTTCCACCCTGCTTTGGATATATCTATCGCGAACGGATCTCAAATTCGTTTTGATGAAACCATGACTGCCACTCGGCTCAATTTCCGGAAGACCGATTTCCGTTTGCTGAGACGTTCCTTGTCCCGGATCAACTGGAACGTGTTGAATGACCTTGATATCGATACAGCAGCCACTCGCTATAATAGCCTTTTGCGCGACTGTATTTGTGCTTCAGTACCGAAGTGCCAACCTCCAAGAAAACCGCCTTGGTCTAACGCTACTCTCCGCAACCTGAAACGAGTGCGATCTAGAGCTCTCCGTGCTCTTGCAAGAGGTATGTAATTCGTACTCAACATAATCTGCAATGCCACCCCAAGGGATTCTGGTCGTTTGTGAATACTAAGAGGAAGGAAACTGGACTGCCGTCAACGTTTTTTCTCGGCAATGACGTAGCATTGACAACTGAGGACAAATGCAGCCTATTTGCTAGGCACATCTTAAGCGTCTTCTCGAACTCCCTCCCCCCGGACTCCCCATCGCAAGCAGAAATTGAGCGAGCCGTCCGTGATGTGCCAACCGACGTCGTAAACATGGATGTTTTTGCCGTAGATGTACAAATGGTTCTCTCTGTGATGAGTAAAACCAAATCATCATTTTCACCAGGTCCGAGTGTTATTCCATCTGCAGTCCTAAAAAAATGCTCCGATATCTTAGCTGCTCCGTTGTCCTTGCTCTTCAACCTGTCACTTCGTCAACAGAAATTTCCCGCACTATGGAAACGGTCTACTATGTTCCCTGTTTTCAAGAAAGGAGACAAACGCAATGTGGAAAACTACCGTGGGATTACCTCGCTTGGGGTTGAATCGAAGGTGTTTGAGTCGCTGATAAATGAGAGATTGTTTGCTTCCTGCAAGCATTACATAAGTACATGTCAACATGGTTTCTTTCCTGGCCGCTCCGTGGAAACTAATCTCGTCAGCTTTACGTCGTTCTGTATGGAAAATGTGTGCAAGAAACTTCAAGTGGATGCCATCTACACTGATCTTAAAGCTGCGTTTGATAGAGTTGTGCACGACGTTCTGCTAGCTAAGCTTGAAAAAATTGGATGTTCTGTTTCTTTCTGCAGCTGGCTTAGATCGTACCTCGTGCAACGTGAAGTTACTGTATGCATTGGAAACTACTCATCGTACTGTTTCTCGAACAGATCAGGAGTTCCACAGGGTAGCACTTTGGGACCAATGCTCTTCTATTTATTTGTGAACGATGTAACGTTTATTCTACTACGAGGAGGTAAATTGTTTTTTGCCGATGACTTGAAGATTTATCTAGTCGTTCGAGGCTATGCTGACTGTTTAGAACTACAAAACCTTCTTGAAATCTTTAATGATTGGTGTGAACGTAATTTTATGGTCCTGTGCGTCTCAAAGTGCTGCGTAATTAGTTTCCGTCGAACTAGGACTGCCATTTTGTTTGATTATAACGCTGCTGGAATTGCAGTTCAACGTGTCGATCACGTTAAAGACCTCGGTGTTATGTTGGATGAAAAGCTCACATACACTCGCCACTTCTCAACCACGATCGACAAAGCTAATCGACAGCTTGGATTCATGTTCAAGATATCTAAGGAATTTTGTGATCCTCTGTGTTTTAAAGCCCTTTACTGTTCATTGGTATGCTCACTACTGGAATTCGCGTGTGTTGTCTGGAATCCCTACCAAGCTGTATGGAGTGGACGATTCGAAGCTGTTCAACGCAAATTCGTCAGATACGCACTGCGCTATCTTCCATGGAGTGACCCGCTGAATTTACCACCGTATGCTGACCGCTGTCGTTTACTGGGTTTGGATACTCTTGCTAAGCGACGAAACATATCGCAGGTTGTCTTCGTTGCTAAAGTTTTACTCGCAGAATATGATGTTCCTGAGTTACTGGCCAAAATTAATCTGTATGCTCCTGCCCGAACACTCCGTCCGAGAACCTTGCTACATGAAGTAGTACATGCAACCAACTATGCTGCAAACAGTTCCTTTGTCGCCATGATTCATCAATTCAACGAAGCCTCTGACCTATTTGACTTTGACATCAATGCCTCGATGTTTCGTCATCGTTTGCTGTTGGCCAATTTTTAATTTTTAATGAGTGACTACATTTAGATTTAAGTGTTTCATTGAGACTATCAAGTCAGATGGACTATAATAATAATAAATAAATAATAATAATAAATAAATAAATAAATTAGTACAATATACTGAAGCATTCTGCACACTGTAGACAAAATACGCGTATCTGTCAAGAATCAGCAATGGCATTAAATGGAAATCACTAATCCTACTCTCTTTCTTTATGCAGATGTTCCAGTAAGTTTTTAAATTTCAACACTGATCGAAACTTTCAAACGTAGACTGGTGGACGTAGATTTTAGAGAGCTATCAGTTTCTATAAATTGACGTTTGAAGCCATTGCTTACAAAAGTACTAAGATCGAACACCAAACCTGAATCACGATTTTCTCTATTTTCATAATGCTTTAAATAATTTTAAACAGATTTTTGATAATTTTAGCTTGTAGAAAAAGGTAGTAGTTTTTTTTTTATGGTTTGATTGATCACGTCACGTTGTGACGAGTTCGATGGGTAATTTCTAATTTTGGTTTTCGATTTTGTGTCGGCAGACAATCCGTTTTAGTGAGTTAAAATTGATCCATTGATCCTTTCATATTTTTTCTCTGAAAGCGTTTAAAAATATCCAACAGAATGCCTCATGTCAACTTTTCAATTGCGCTGTTCATACTTACATAGATCACGACATCTTTCGGATTGTGCGCATTGGTACCACAGATGTACAACCGGTTACCACTGTCCATCGGCTGTATCACCCGTATGTGATTCTTGCAGTCGAACATCTGAAAGTAAATAGAGAAAATATGTTAAATTAGCGATTATTAATTATTGGGACGAAATTTTAGCAGATAGATATTAATAGCGGTTAGCTCCAACAGATTAACGGCGCCGGTGGTGTAGTGGTAAGCGTGATTACCTCTCACCCCAGCAGGCCTGGGTTCAATCCCAGTCGGCGCCGCCGGGATGTTCTGAGGCATAACATCTCTGATCACGCCTTCCTTCGGATGGGAAGTAAAGCCGTTGGTCCCCGGTTCATGAGTTGATGGGTCGATATGTAGGGTCCAGGTGGTAGCATTGGTGCTCAGCACGGAAAACAAGATCGACGGAAAAAAACAAACCAAAGGAAAAAAAAAAGCTCCAACAGATTAACCTTTAATACAGAGTTCAATTTTATCCCCTCTCATATTCCTTATAAATTTAAAAAGCTGCAACACAAATTCAACTTGATATTACACTCTATTTTGCTTTGCTTTCTAAAAATGTACCACCATTAAATTACCTGCATAGTGCCGCTTCAGAATTTTTATTCAATTGAGGGGGTTAGAAGAAAAGGGGTGTAAGTGACTTTGATCTATTCTCTTCATCGACTTTCTCTTTCGTTAATAATTCAGCTGCAAACACATTACTTGATTCGTGTGCCTTTCTAGATGCTAGATAAGAACCTCCTTTAGTAAACTATGTGGCAGAAACAGCTCAAAATCTGTTAATAAAGCTGTGGCTATCAATAGAAAAATTCGATGAAGAGAATCGATCAAAGTCACTTACACCCCTTGCCTTCTAACCCACTCAATTTATACCAGCACTTAATTTGAAATCAGAATAGCATGGTTTCAAACTTAAAATTTACTACGAATTCTCCTCATCAACTTACAAACATTTTCACATCGCATGAAGCAATGTTTGACGAGAAATCGACGAACTGCAGAACTGATAGGCAAAGTCCACGTTTCAGGTTGCTCCTCAAGTAGAATACACCGAAACAGTAATGCGATTAATCTGCGTGGCATTGAGGAACGCGAGCGTTTGATTCGGTTAACCCTCTCCTTGGGATGGAACCATAGGTTATACACAACTTTTCGGTAATTCTCACGTTTGTCAAGCTACCATTAATTTGTCAGTAGGTACTAGTATATAAGTATTTCCGTGTGCTCATTATATTTATATTTGGGGGCCTCCCTTAGCTCAGCCAGAAACGTTGGAAACTCAAAATAAGTTTTCTGATCTCTTGGAATGTTTTGTGGACTTCAAATAAATGTGAAAATATTCTTATTTTATTAAATTTTTTTGAAGTTTGCAAAACTTCTCTGAGTTAGCAGAACTTTTCCGGATGTATCTGAACGTCTCTGGAGTTCACACTGCTTTAAAGCAAATCATTTCGGAAGTTCGTAAACTTTCTTTGAGATTCCCAGATTTTGTCTGCAGATCACAGCCTTAATACCTTGTAAAGACATACCGCGTAGTACCATTGTACAGCGGTACTATATACTTTATATGTATGCATAACAATTGGGTTAATGTAACCCCTTCTAGAATTCTCACTACAATTACTTGTTTTCCTTACACATTCAATTTGCTGATTGCCTAATGCAAGAGCCACATGTGAAAAGGGCATACAAACTTTTTGTAAGCAAACCTAAATAGGCCCTTTTACACAGTTCAAAAAAGCAGTGTAACTTTCTGTTCAATATGATTCACATAAATGGAGTGTCAAATATCATTCAAGTCCACATTTAAAAACCCACATGTGAAAAGGGCATAAAAGCTTTTTGTAAGCAAACCTTTGTAGGCCCTTTTCTCCTCAACTGAAGGTTGCCCACGCAAACCAACAACATCATCGGGAACGGGGAAAGTTTCCCCTACCCGGTGATCTTGATGGTTTGATTTAGTGTCATATGGGTGTCGAGAAAAGGGCATAAGGAGGTTTGTTTACAAAAAACTTAAATGCCTTTTTCACATTATCTTGATTTAAGATCATTTCATATAATGCAAAATAATAATAACACGTAGCTTTTACTATACACGCAATACCAAGAACTTCAGGAGAATTCAGAGAACTTCAAGAATGCTCCTTGATTTTTTTTATAATACGTTTATTTTTTCAGACTCATTTGGTGTAGCTTTGCGGAGCCGTATGCTCCGAGATAATTACGGCAATTCAAAGAACATATGAGGACCTACCATAATTTGTTTTTCCTTGATTTTGTTTTCCGTCGATCTTGTTTTCCGTGCTGAGCACCAATGCTACCGACGCCAAGGAGGCAGCTCCCACACCTGGGCCCTACCTATCGACCCATCAACTCATGAACCGGAGACCAACGGCTTTATTTCCCATCCGAAGGAAGGCGTGATCAGATATGTTATGCCTCAGAACATCCCGGCGGCGCCGACTGGGATTGAACCCAGGCCTGCTGGGGTGAGAGGCAATCACGCTTACCACTACACCACCAGCACCACCGACCTACAATTAATGTCAAGGAAGTTGCAGTATCTTTAAAGAAGTTCCGATAGTTGCATTAACGTTTTGGGAGGAAACATAAGCATCAGGAAATTGTGATCAGATTTAAAGGGAATTCCGCGATTTTCATAGTAGTTTCAAGACCTCAAAAAATAGCAGGAACCTTAGCGAAGACCAGCGAGCTTCTGAATAGTTTGGAGATTTTTAGGAAGTTTCATTATGAACAGGCAAGTTTCGAGTACATCAAGGACGATGAGAGATCTTCAGAGCAGTTTCATTAATTTATGAAAATTTGCAGGAAGTTTTATGGAGTTCCAATGAATTTTGAGATATTCCGAGAATTTAGGAAACTTCATGAATGCCCAGGGAAGTTCAGAAAAAAACAGAATTTTTGGCGAAGATCCAGGATTTTCTAAAAAGTTTTCAACTTTCAACATAAATAACGGTAACTTAAGGGAATATCAGGGAACTTCAAGGCAATTATATTAACTTCAGGAAAATAACAGGGACTTTTAAAATCTACTGATATATTCAGGGTAGTCTAGAACGCTTAAGGGAAGTTCAGAGATTTTTCTGGTAGGATACATGAGGATAGCACTTAAAAATCAGAAAAGTCTCTTTTGGATTAATTTTAAAATGTCGATGAATTTGTTACCATAATTTTCAGGCAATTTCATGATAGAATTTAAGTAAAAATCTAAGATCAAATTTTTTTATTTCATTTATATTGTAGGGACCTTAAGAAGTTACCGATTATTTCAGTAAACTTCAAAGAAATTTCAAAGAGAAACTAAGGCATTTCAGGAAAACTGCAGGATCTTAATAGAATTGCAGAGAACGTCAGGAAAGATCATAAGACTTCAGATAAATTCTGAAAACATCAGGAAAATGCAAAATCATAAAAAAAAAAATTCACGTGCTTCAGAGCTGTTGCGAGAATTGAGGGAACTTTACGAAAGATCATTGCAAATCTATTAATTTAAAAAAAAAACATCGGTAGATTTTAAAAAGTTCCCAGGTTTTCATGAAGTAAAGATAATTTCATAGATGTTTAAAAAACTTCAGATATTTTTTTTTTGCAATAAAGTTCAAGGAACTCAGAAGAACGAGAATTTCAATAACTTTGGAAAGATCAGAGAACGTTTGGACAGCTCCATTATTTTCACAGAAATTATAAAAAAAATATTTTTGAGAACTTGAGTGATCATTTTAGAACAACATTTATTATTAAGTTTTAATTGCAGGGCCCTAATGAAATTACAGTTTATTTCAAGAAATTACAAAGAACTTTAAAGAGAAGTTAAGAAATTTCAGGAAAACTGCGGGAAGGAAGAACGATCAGCTTCAGGGCTGTTTCGAGAATTGTGTGAACTCACGGAAGATCATTGCTAATCAATTAATTTCATAGAATTTTCAGGGAACACAAAAGAACGATAATTTCAAGCACTTTGAAGAAGTTCAGAGAACTTCAGGAAAGATCAGAGAATCTTAGGGCAGTTCCATTATTTTCACGGATGTTATTTTAAAAAAATACAGAAGTTTCTAGAACTTAGTGGGTATTTTTAAGAATTCAGGACAGTTCCATTAATTTCATGGAAATCATTGAAAACCACAGAAGTTCCGAGAACTTCATGGACATTGTTAAGACATCAGGCCTAAAAGTTAAGAAAAAATTGAGGGATCCTTAGAGAAGTCCAGAGAAATTCAGGGAATTCTAAAAATTTCAAGGGAAGTACCTTGAGCATCAGCCGGTAAAGGCGCAGCTACAAAGCAAGACCATGCTGGAGGTGGTTGGTTTCAATTCCCGGTCCGGTCTAGGAATTTTTCTGGTTGGAAAATTTCTCGACTTCCCTGGGCATAGAGTATGATTGGACTTGCCACACAATTATACCAATGCAAAAATGGTACAGACATCGAAAGCTCTCAATTAATAACTGTGGAAGTGCATCTAGAACACTAAGTTGAGAGCACGCAATAAGCTTATATGCGATATGCAATAAGCTTGAAATGCGAAGAAGAAGAAGAAGAAGAACCTTGAGCATCATATTTTTTTTCGAAAACTTCGGATGAACTTCATGGCAGTTCCATTAACTTCAGAAAAATTGTGTAGTTTGTAAGAAGTTCTAAGGACTTCCAGTGAACTTCAAGGGAGCTCAGATAATTTCACAAATGTTTTCATATGTTTAGGGCAGTAACGTGAAATTCAGCATAGTTCCTAGAACTACGTATCAGGTAGTTTTACTCATATTTCAATGCCAGAACTTAATTGTGTGTACATAAATTCCTATATTAGAATTAAGGGCGCTTCTGAATAATAAATGCTTTTAGGTGGGTGGGATGCGCTCATCTAAGAAATCAGGAACCCGCGTTAAATTTACCTGTGCTGTGATTAATAATATTCCCAAACTATGCACTTTTAATAAATTAATAATTAATAAATACTCTTTATCATATGCCTCACATTCCATAATCATTATTCGTTCATCATGTACACTGAAATACACTAATCAATGAATAATCATTCATAAGTCACAAAAATCCACAGAT